TTTGTTAGGGGCACACAGACACAGGGACAGATTCCTAAAACGACATTCAGGCAGACACACACCAGACTCATTCAACAGCTAGAGAATGATGGAAGACACAGGCAAAGAGAAGCTAAGAATTCAAATCGGGGCTCACTTGGGCAAATTACTGCAAGGGACAGTGCTCCTGATTTTTTTCCTTAGTGTGACATCGGTGCATTATTGGCGATTCTGAGTTTATTACTGCCGTGTTCAAACCAACACAATGCATGCTCTTAGCACCCGAGAGGCATCTCGGGTACACTGGGAGTCACTGACTAGGGAGTGAGGGCTGGTGAGTTGGAATCCAAGTTGCTTTGTCTAAGCCTTTGCCTTTTGATCCCTTAGGAAATGAATGTAGAGGCAGCAGCTGGGCCTCGGGTGTTCCCTAAGACCCTAGTCTTTCAGCCATTCCCAGAGGGTTCTCCCCAAAGCAGAGCCTGGGGTGCACGTAGGAGAAACTGCTCGTCAGCCTACTCAAGCTGCAGGTGTCCTGGCCAGCTCGCATGCACATGCATGCAGGCGCTTCCTCCCTGAGCCAAGCCTGCCTCTATGCCCAGAGACTGCTGAGGAAGACACCTGACCCAGAGACACCAATGAGGAAAGGACATGCAGCAGAGTCAGCGCCTGAGCCTACAGGACCTGGGGAGGGTATCAAGGCAGGTCTAACTCCCGTAATAAAGGAGTCTGCAGCACACTCAGCCACTCACTGACTCCCAGTGCCTGAGTCGTTGGTGCTGCTGTCATCTCACCCCCTCCCCCAAGGGGTGTCCCAGCAGGGTCACCCGCAACATCACTTTGTAGAGAGGGATGGGTGTCCCAGACACAAACAGAAGACTAAAACAGCACTGACTTCGGAACATGTCTGTTTTTCTCCCACCAGCCACATCCCTGAGCCAGGTAAACTTGACTGGTGGTGGGATTAAAAATGCCTGGCTGCTGACTGACGTGAAGCGCACTGTACACATCCGCTCCCATCTCCTCCCCCAGCGTCGAAGTGGGATTTGTTTTCCCTGCCTTTGCTGCCTCTTTGAAGTGCTGGCTATTTAGCCCTGCAATGAACCACCAGCCTGCAGTAGAGCCTCCAAGAATTTCATTTGAACTTGAAAGAATCTGGGCAAGAAGAGGACAAACACTTGGAAGACGATGAGAAGCCAAGCCTTGGGAGAGGGTGGCGGGGTTTTCTGGTTTGACGGTCGTGAGAATGGCTGAGCTTGGCTCTCTCCGTGTTGTGGGCTCCAGAGACACTCTTCACCAGGGCGATGGCATCCACACTGCCTTGTCGATTTCCCTCTAGCTGTGGCCTTGACCTCACAGTGGGGCCTGGCATCTCCCCACTGGCTTAGCGTCATTCCCTCTGTGCTGGAATGCCCTCGTCATGCCATAGCTTAGGAGTCTCTGGTGGACACCTGTTTGTCACTGGGAGAAACTCCCGACATGCCGGGCACATTCTCTTCCTCCAGCCTTTCCCCAAGCCTGAGATCTGGCTATGCCCCCGGTGGGGCTCCACACGGATTCTCGGCTCTGATCCTTTGTCCCTTGGAGGTACTCCACATATGTGTCCTTCCACGTGTCTCTGAGGCTGGTGCTGCTTCCCCCATCCTTCGACCCTCCGGATAATGCACACTCAGCTTCTAAAGTCGTTTTGGTGGCTCTTCTTTTACGAAGCGGTTCTCAAGTTTCCTTCATGCCCCTGCCTCAGGCCAGGCCTCTTCTTTCCCCCGTGGGGCCCCTGGTTTCCTCTGCTCTTTACAGGTAGCACACATACCTGTTATTTGTCCACTGCCTCCTGGGTGCTGTCACTGACCAGAGCAGTCTATCATTTGTAAATTAAATGCATTCCTTGGCCGCCTCCTTGTCCTAGGCAGTCTTGCAATGCACTTTGACGTCCTCGAGGGGGCAGGCTCCCTCCCTAGTGGGGCCTTGCTGTTTCTCAGCTGTCTTGAATTCACTCCAGCATGAATTCTCAGAAAGAAGCGTGACTAAAATGGGGATTTTTCTCATTGAAATAGAGCAGGGCTGCTGCTGTCGGGGCTGTCGCAGATCCTGTTTGTCCATAATATGCAGAAACTATTTTTAAAACGACATGATGTGCTGCCACACAGAAATGCAGACGTTCACGGGGGATGTTCCCCCCAGCCCCCACTTTAAATCCTACTTTGCTCATTCACAAGTTTGGAAAGGTACAGGGAAGACAGACCAGGACAAACAACGATGCTAGTTACCAAGGGGTCCGTCCACCTCTGTGACCTGAGCTCTGTGACCTCTAAATGTCCACTCTAGCCAGGGTTCTCAGTGGACCACAGGTTAGGACCCCAATGGCTGGTGGAGATTTTTTCTCTTGTGAACTTTTTATTGGGGTCTATCATGGGTTGTGACTGTCGCCTAAGGCGCCTTCTGGTTTTACAAAGCCTCCCCACATCTCTGCAAGGTGCAGAAACGCCTCTTTTCTGAGCTCTGTCCCCTTCTCTGTCTCACTTCTCTGTTGAATGTGTCATCTCTGGCCCCGTGCATGGTTTGCCAAATGCCAGGAGCCGGGCCACAGCTGTCACAGTGAAAAATGAAATTGAAAAAAATGACACGCACACTGTTTCTTGGCATTCTTGGGAACTGGATGTGCTCTCTGCATTTCTGTGGTAGGGTGTGTGAGCCAGCCTGTGAATGGCAAGCAGACTCGGATCTGCACCCTCAGCCTGCAGGGAAAGGGCACTGGATGTCACAGATGCGAACTAACATTGAGATTCTCGGAGGGTCACTCCAAGCCTAGAACAAACAGTCCCAGGTCCCCCAGCCCCATCTCCAGACCTGCAGAGCCCAGCGGTGCCTTGACCCTGCCTGGACTTTGGTAGCTCTGCCCCATACACCCCAGGATCCAGCATTCGGGGGCTGTCTTAGCAGTCCTGTGGCACAGTCAGGTACCAGGACACGGTCCCTGGGCTGGCCAGCGGTGCAGACATGCAGAATCCCAGGCGGGTCTCCAGTGTGGTCCAATGCCAGGGTCTGCTGTTTCCTAGTCATGTGGTCTCAGTAACCTACCTTTCTCCCCCTTGCTTCTACTTTCTCATATAGAACGTGGGGCTGACAAGGTTCATCTCAGCAAGTTTCTGTGAGTATTAAAACACTTCGTTTTCAATCACCTGACACTTAGCAAGTCATAACCACGGGCCACAGCTACTTTCAAGCAGGATTCTGCCGTCATTCTAAGGAGCTGGACAGGAAACCTTTTCAGTTCTGCGGTCCATGAAAGGGGTGGGGTACTTGTCTCATCTGTGGTTGTGGTGCAGAAGAGGTCCCAGATGCTACATAAAGCAGTGACCCAGTTGTTTCTAACAAAACTTTACTCACAAGGTCTAATTTCTAAGACGATGTCTGCTCTGGGGGCTGCATAGCTGAGGGGTGGGCGGGGGACAGAGAACTCAGTCGGCTGTGTAGTGCGTGGAGGGAAGGAGACAGGCGTTCCCGTGCAGGATTCGGACGGGTTGCTACAGCCTCTTAAGTCAGGTTCAGGGGTTCCGGGACCAGATACCCTGTGTTCCTCACACGACACAGCATCGCCGTGTGAGTATACGGGCACTCAGGGAAGACGAGGCAACCAAGGGGCCTGCACAGACACGGATGAGATGCAGCAGGCTAACAAAGCTGGCAGATACTGAGCTATGTCCCAGTCTCCAGGCTCCTGTATAGTCAGATTCAGAGTAGCCCTCTGGCTCCTTCCTGCCACTCAGACCACACAGAGCTCTCCAGGCTGCTTCCTGTGTGGCCTCTGGAGCTTCCTCGTTTTCAGCAATCCTTCTCCCTGTAGGCTCAGCCACACTTTCACCACCCCGGTTCCCTGCCCAGTGGAAAGGGCAGCCACTTCCTGTTTGCGTCCAGGTCTGCTAGAAAGACTTCGGGTGAAGGTTTTGAGGGCTCTGTGGTTGGGTGAGCACGGGCCCTGTGGGTGGTCTGGAGGACAGGTGGCAGGTGAGGTACTGGGCCCCATGTGACAAGGAGCAATGGCATGCCTCAGGACAGGGATCTAGTGCGGTCATACAGCTCAGGACAGCATGTAAAGAATGTGGCTGGTTCAGGGCCGCTCAGCCAACCTAAGTTGCTACTGAGGGTTCTTGAGGGAACATCACCTTCTCCAGGGCCTGGGTTCTGGCCATGGCCACAGGTCCCCTGGGGCTAGCCAGGAGGGCACCGATTTGACATCCTGGCAGATAGCTCAAAGGCTTCTCCCAGGGGCTTGGCTTTCCTTTAGCAAGTGCTGCGGGGCTATGGGTTGACTTTGATTGGGAGGATCTGCAGCTTCACACAACAGTGGCTCACATCAGTCTTCTGGGTCCAAGCTGGACAGCCTTCTAAAATGTAAACACCACTGTCCTTTGGTGGCTGTGGCTTATGGCAGGGCTGGAGAAGCTGTGAAGAGCCATGACCATGAGACTAGGGTTTTGCTGTCAAGGGTTTCCCTGAGACCCAGCCAAGGTTCCTAAATGAGCCACTGCTGGCTCTGGAGCCCAGTGCTCTGCTCCCAGCACTCCTCCAGTAAGGGTGGCAAGTTCTGGGTTCGAATCTCTTCTCCCTACACCCAACCCAAGTTGTTTGGCTTTCTAAGCCTCAGATTTCCCATCTGACCAGTGGGAGACTATACAGTCTTGTTATGACAGGTGACATACTGTGAGTGGTGGAATGTCCCTAGCACAGAGCCCACCATGGGCAGGAGAACCTTTTCTGTCACTGACTGATATCCTTACGCCACTGTTTAAAGGTGTAGAATATGCAGAAGAGACTCTTAAGAGTGTTTCACATTGTTTGCAGGTTAGTGTTACCCCATCTTACAACCACTGCAGGCCACCACAGCTCTTCTGTAGTAGTTGGAGCGTGTGTGCGTGTGCATGCGTGCGTGTGTATGTGCGTGCGTGCGTGCGTGTGTGTGTGTGTGTGTGTGTGTGTGTGTGTGTGTGTGTGTGTGTAGGAGGCAGAAGGATCACATCGCACTATTAATGGTCTCCAAGCCTTTATTGGGAAGGGGAGAGTGCCTACAATTGACCGATGGGCACTGGGCAAGGGATGTAACAGTTCCAAGGGGAGAGGAATACAGAGGAGGAGAGCCAGTTAGGGTGCGGGAAGGGTTCTCTCCTCCCCAGAAGGCACTGATGAGTGAGCACCCTGGAGCAGGGGGTGGGGCCTATACACACAGGATTAGCAGAACACAGGTGGTCTCGAAGCTAAATACAGCCAGCCTAGGTGAACAGCATCCTTGAGGCCACAGCTGCCCAGGGCTCCTCTGGACACGAAGGAAAGGCCCCCAGAAGGCAGACAGAGCTTAGGGGGAGATGTTCAACCTTTCTTCTTAGTGTTTTGTGCAATTTAAACAACAAAAAAATAAATATAACTTACACACTTCTTAAAGGGCACTAAAGTCTAGTCTGGGGAAAGCGGCTACAGCAGCCTTCAGGAGTGTGCAAAGCAGGGCTGACCACCAAGAAATCTGGTGCCCAGTAGCCTGCCCCATGTCCCATAGGCAGGACCTTGGGCGTCTCTGGGAAACTCCATCTGAGCTCTATCCAACCCATCAGGGCAGGGAGGAGGGGGCTCTGGCAGGATGGAAGGGGGAGAATGGACTGGGGGATACAGTGTGGGTGCTGACACGGTAAATACAAAAACCCGATGAAGTGAAACACCCTTCGTAACAGAATAACCCTAGAGAGATACCTCTACACACCACCTAGCAAAGCGATCCCAGCGCAAAGCACTGTCCAGCACTATCCTAAGCTCTGGCTGACCGGTGTCACAGCACCTGAGCACATTTCTGTGACAGGTGATTCCTTCTTAAAGTGCTTGGTGAGTTACGTTTTCTTGCATACATCAAACTGGTCCCTGGCAGTTTTGTTCATGGCATAGTTTGCTTTAGCAGACATTTTTACTGAGATAGCCGTATAGGAGATTGGGCCAGGTCATAGCTATAGACCCTTGGAATTCATGATGCCCCTTCCCAGCCTACGGCTGGTGTACAGACCACAGGGTCCCCTCAAGCCCTCCAGCAACTACAGCTGGAAAGTCCCAGAGCTTGCTGCCTGGTTGCTACTGCCCTCCCCCACTCCAGCCTGCCTGTCTTCCCAATCATGTGCTGTCACAAGATCTGGACTCACAGATGGGGGGGGGGGTGCGGCGTGGGGGGGTGCGGCGTGACCTTTAGAAAGTCAGCCCACACAGGAGCTCACCACCATCTGAACAGGAGCCAGGAAGTTTAAATGAGTTCCTTTTTTAAAATCTGTACTTATACATCCTCGCAGGTCCCACCTCCCGCCCCCACCAACTGTCACTCACCCACCAGCATGAAAGGGGAAACACATGTGTCACATGGGCCAACAGTTCTTCTAGAAACCCCAGGGATCTAGGGTAGGCGGCCACCCCTTGCCCAAAGCCATCCTAGCCAGGTGTGTACGCATTGGTCTACCCCATTTCCCTTGGTGTTCCCAAGCTGTGTCTGCTGGTCTGGTGCCCAGAAGAGCATCTGTACGTGTGACCCAGAGTGTCTCAGAAATAGAGGGCGTGAAATCCAGAGGATAGCACCAAATGGCAGCAAAGCCGGGAGTTTTGTCTTTTAGCTGTCACAGGAATTGCCACTCTTTTCAATCAGACAGGTCACTGGCCTCACAATTGAGATAGTGATTAACAATGGTCCCCCGTGGCCCTTCAAGCAGCTCGGGGCGCCAGGAAGGAGGAGGCTTGGACAGCTCTGGGCACCCCTATAAACCCTGGGAACTACTCACGGCACCCAGAAGCATCCGTCTAAGCCCTTCAAGCTAGAAGGGCAAGAGACTTCAAGGGAAATTTAGAAATTATTCCAGGAAGCTCAGATCCTGCTTTCCTAAGGCCTGGTACAGCCTGAATTGTTAGAGGTTCCCCATGGAGGGACTCTGAGCCTGGAGGCAGGGGTGCCTGGTTACTAAGGATTTGAAGGGACAAGAGAGTAGTCTCGTCTCCTAGGTGTGGCAGGCTCTTGGAGCTGCTGCAGATCCCTGGAGGTTGTGTGGACCTTCAGTATTCTAACCAGCTCTGGACCTTTCCATAGCAGGGCAGACCTAGGGTTCTAGGATGTAACATTATCCTTGAAAGCTTGGCTTTGCAAACGACCCCTCTGAATTCATGGGCAGTGGTCCCAGATGGAAGAGCAAAGTTCTTTAGAAAAAGTCGAGCTGCTCCCCATACTCCCGGCTCCTAGCCTGGCCTGAATCCCAAGCGTTTAACACCAACGAGGGAGGGTCCTGATTTAGCATCTCTAGAAAGGCCACACAGTGCTCCTGGAAAGCTGGGCCCACTCACTGGAGAATTCATTGCTCACCAACCACATGCAGATTCCTCAGAGGTTGTGTTCCCAACTTCCAGAAATCAGGACCCTGGCTTGGCTTCAGGGTCCATGGTGGGAGACACCAATGGGGCAGTGTATACGATGGCACCAGCCACCAGGGGGCAGCAGGGCTCCACAGGTAGCCAGTCTGGGCCTGAACTTTCTGGGGTGGGGGTGGGGTCTCCCAGAGGGAGGCTCAATTTCTCAAGACCCTCAGGAGATGCCACGGCCTCTTAGACCCAGGCCAGATCTAAGTGCAACTGACCGCACAGGATGCAGGGCCTAGCTTTGGGTAATTCTCTTCCAGAAGGTAGTTCTATTTAGAGAGAATTAGAAACGCCACCTCCAGGCCCTTGTGTAGGAAGGAAAAGGAGACTTAGAAAATCTCTCTTCTTCTCCGAAGTGTCCTGTAGTGCGGATGGAGGCTCTGTTCTAGGTGGGCCCTCAGAGAGAAATGAAGGAAGAGTTGGGGGAAGCGCGGGGATGGGAGAGGCAGAGCGGCATGGGGAGGCCAGGTGGAGGTGGCCTCAGGTGAGAGGGCTGCCCTGGGACATTTCTGTCAGGATGTCGATGAGGTTATTCAGCCCCGAGAGATAGCCGTCCTCCCGGTTCCCCTCCTGCCAAGGGACGTCGTGTCGGAGGGTCTGGCCTTCCGGCAGGGGCGTGGTTTTCCCGAAGTCGATCATCCACACCTTGGCTTGCTCCTTCTTGTCGTGGATGAAAAGGAGTGAGCTGCCGATGACCTGCAGGAAGTAGGACTATGAGACGGGGAGTGGGGAAGCAGGGCCAGGGCCAGGCTGGGGCAGGGGCGGCAGGAGAGGAGGTGGATGGACACGGCAGGGCCAGGAGGAGGGCAGAGCCTGGAGGAGGAGTAGGGCTTGGCGGGGAGTGGGGCAGGAGACACAGCTAGGGTGCTTAGGTATCTGAGAGGCTTGGAAAAGCCTTGATCCCGAGGGGGGCTTGGATCAGCAATTTCACTTCCGACTGGAGCTGGAGGTGATGGTGAGGGGTGTCAAGCAGGCGGGGCGTGCCTGTCAGTCTGAAGGCTCGGTACCCTACCTCGTGGCACTTGAAGAAGGGAGAGACTTCCAGGGTCTCTCGAATGGCCTTCAGTCGGTCCCGGTAGGCGATCTGAGGACAGAGATGGTCAGGGTTTCATACACTCTGTGTGTTGGGATGCGGCCATGGTGTCAGATCTATGTAGTTCATTAGAGTCACTGAATTACAAGCAACATTCACCGTGTACTCATCAATTATTCCAACCTCACTTACCCCAGTTGAGCTCAGAGTCACACCTTTCCCAGAGGACTATGTGTCCCCTCAACCTCCCCCATGAGGGGGCAGCCCATCCCAGCACACCAGCCATCAAAGTCAGAGGCCAGAACTGGCTGCCATGGTAACTTCCTGACCACAAAGTGCTGTGTCCCTGACTAAAGACAGGGTAAAGGGGAAAACTATAGTATCTCTACATGAGTTCCCTCCACAGAATCTTAGAGATATTCCTGTGTTAGCAACGGGGTACCTGATCATTCCCAAGGACCAGCTCTGTGAGTCTCATCACCCATGAGTATGGGGTCACCAGGGAAGCCCACATCACAGGGTTCCAGCAGTGACACAGCCAGGTAGGACTAGTCAGCATCGTCCCAGAGTCCCTAGCAACAGCCATCAACCCTTCTTGGAAATGCCGTTGGTGGCATGACTCTGAGGGTCTGAGATGATCCAGAGGCGCCCAGAGGACTAGTTCTGCAGACCTACTGTGTGCATCCCAGCCTTACAGGTCTGAACCCGGAGACAGCAGGAAGTACAGGGACCTTCCGTGTCAGGCCAGCTTAGGTGTGGCCCCTAGCTCCGTCTTTCTCTATGTGTGTTCTTGACCTCCCAAGCCTCCTTGTCTGTCAAACGGAGACGAGAACGTCTGCTTGCTTGTCCTCACCAGAGGGCTTCTGAGGGGATGTGACGAACACTCGCTACACCCTCAGCCAGCGACGGCGCTTTACACAAGCCTCCTGCCATAGCGTGCCCTGACAGGGAAGGGCAGCGTGCTGGACAGTTCAGGAGAATGAGCCAGTGTTCCCAAGTTTCTCCAAGCACCCATGGATACTGGGGACAGCCACGCCACCTTCATACAGAAGTCTGAGGCTAGGGTTTCGCACCAATCCTGACTCAGTTAGGTTGGAGAAGGGAGCCTCCCCCCGAAGCCCTGACTCACCAGGATGTTCTGGTTTCCTTTAGTGAATTCTCTGAAGGCCTCGGTGACCTGCTCCCTTGTTTTGGTCTTCTTGAAGTCACGGTTCACAGAGCCATCTTCCTTCTGAGGAGGGAGTCACCCAGAGGAGTCAGCAGAGGGCCCATGGGACGGGCTGCTCATGACCCTGGTGCTTCTCTGTGGAGGTGCCCAGGGATGGTACAGCAAGGCAGGTGAAACAAAGCAATTGTCACCTGGCGCCCCAACAGGGGAGTTCACAGAGTGGCCCTAGGTCCCCAGCCACACACCGCTTTAGGAGGTCTTGGTGGCACGAGGGTGTCTGAGACAGCGATGGAGAAGCACCCTGTTCCGAGCAAGGGCAGCAGGGGCCCAGGGTAACCAACAGCTTCACTTCCTGGTCAGAAGCTCAGTCTCTGGACCAGTGCCGCACAGCATGTCCCATTAGTGTGCCGGCAGCCATCTGACGGTCAGGCTAATTGTCACCCTATCACAGGTTTGTGTTCAAGTGACCCTCATTTAACAACCACCCAAAGCATGAAAGCCACGATGCTGGTACTTATTTTTTTTTTTGAAGATGGATTTGTTTATTGTGTATACAGTGTTCTGCCTGCCTTATGTCTGCCTGCAGGCCAGAAGAGGGCACCAGATCTCATTACAGATGGTTGTGAGCTACCATGTGGTTGCTGGGGATTGAACCTGGGACTTCTGGAGGAGCAGCCGGTGCTCTTAGCCTGTGAGTCATCTTTCTAACCCCAATGCTGGCAGTTTTTATGATATGGCAAACAGAGGCTGTAAAGTGTCTCTAAGGGAAAAGGTATAAAAGAAGTGTGTGTGTGTGTGTGTGTGTGTGTGTGTGTGTGTGCGTGCATATGTACACATACTTGTACATGTCTCATAGTGCACTGCAGATCAAGGGGATAATATGCGGACTCCCCCAAAGCCTGTGGTTTAAGCCAGGGTCGCTGCATCCCCACTCCCTCATCCCCATCTCCATGCTCTGAGCTCAGCACTCCTGTTCAGGCTGGCCTGGGCAAGCACACACAGCTCTGTTCTCTTGAGACACAGGGGGAGGAAGGGTGGGTCCATTAAGGAGCCCTGACCCTTGCACCCATTCACCTCCAGTTTGAAACAGGTGACAGCTATAACTTCAGGAAAACAGCAAGGGTCTGAGGGAGCAGCGGAGGGCTGCAGCCTCAGGATCCTTCCCTACAGGGTCTCCTTGCTAACTGAGACGAGGAAGGGCAGACGGCGGTGTGTGCAGTTAGCCCCTCTCGGCCAGTGGATCTTGTTGGCTGTACGAAAGCCTTGGCAGGAACAGCCAGGGCGTGCTGTGCAGATGGACCACAGATGGAGAGGATGTGTGCATATCATTTGCATCCAGTCTGGGCGCTGGATACTACTAGGAAAGAAGGCTGGTTTCAGAAGAGAAGGAAGGACAAACGGCTTTCTCAGTCCCCTGCTCTAGAAGCCAGTGAGGCTCTGGTGACCACAGGGATGCACTTCTCCACATTACGTGAGAGGCGGCTGCAGCAGCCTCCCTCATTTCAGCTACCCAACTCTGACTTCATGCTGGAGAGGGGGCCAGGCAGACCTAGCCTGGGCAGAGAAAGGAGGGCCAGGGCTTTGGAGGGACTGACACCTGCCCCGAAAGCATGGCCACCTGAGACACAAGGAGCCTCTGTTCCTTCTCCCTGCTCCTAGCTAGGCCTTGCACGTCTAGAAGTTAGGGACATGGAATGGAACACAGGGACAAGGACAGTCTTCTGAGATCCTTTTCAGGGCATCCAAGAGGAAAGGATGGAGGATGAGGTTTCCAAGGCAATCCCAGGTAGCCACACACCTCTCCTTATTGGTAGGTACCTCACTGGCAGTGAGCTAACATCTTTCCTGTGGCAGGTATCTAGCCTGGCTCCTATATGGGGTCCTCTGTACCGCCCTACAAATAAGCTGCCTGCACCCCAAGGTCTGCCCACCTGCCTCTCTGGCTGCAGAATGGGCCAACACCCCTGAGGCTGGCTGTCCATCTTAGGTCTGCATAGGTGAGACTTACAGACTCCAGCATCCCAACGCCCCGGTCACCACTGACAACCGTGAGGCCTCAGCATCCTCAGGCCACACCTCACAGGTCTTACCTTAATGCCCTCGATCCTGAAACCCAGGGTAGCCGTGGAACTGATGGTTTCTCGCCACTGCATGTAACGTGGCTTGGTCACAGCTCTCTGGGCTTTCTCCTCCTCAGTTGGGGCCTCAGGGTCCACCTCAACCATCTTCTGGTACATGTCCTTCCTCAAGCTAGGCTTCTTCCGGGCCTTGGTGAGTTCTTCCTCCAGGTATGTCCTGCATGGGAGATGAAGGACATGAGTACTAGGGTTGGGTCATAGCTCCCTGTAGCCAGGAACTGTCTGGTGAATGAAGACCCTGAGCGGGCTGTGTCTGGTCCCAGGACAATGGTCAACATAGCAACATCTAGGATGAGGCATCTTCAATGGGACAGCCATGCACTGTTTGAGCTGATTTGAGAGAGTGTGTCCTCAGTGCTCACAGAGCACCTTGATGCTGGCACTGTGAAGGCCCCCTCCAAGGACCTTCTCTAGGGTCAGCAGAAGGAAGGTGTAAGGATAGAGCTCAGTTTGTGGAAAAGAGACAGAAGGCGGGTTCCCCTTGGAACTCTGTTGTACCCTGGCAACCTGGAAAGCATATTCTGTCCTTTCAATCTCATGCAGGCTGACGCTGGGCAGCATCTCTGGCTCTTTGCAGTAGGGTTCATCTAAACACCAAGGGCAGCGTAAGTGGGAGCTGCGATGGCCTATGCTGGAGTGAGATCTGCAGTGACCATTGCTGGAGTCAGAGCTGCAGTGACCATTGCTGCAGTGAGATCTGCAGTGACCACTGCTGCAGTGAGATCTGCAGTGACCACTGCTGCAGTGAGATCTGCAGTGACCACTGCTGCAGTGAGATCTGCAGTGACCACTGCTGCAGTGAGATCTGCAGTGACCACTGCTGCAGTGAGATCTGCAGTGACCACTGCTGCAGTGAGATCTGCAGTGACCATTGCTGCAGTGAGATCTGCAGTGACCATTGCTGGAGTCAGAGCTGCAGTGACCATTGCTGGAGTGAGATATGCAGTGACCATTGCTGGAGAGAGAGCTGCAGTGACCATTGCTGCAGTGAGATCTGCAGTGACCTATGCTGGAGTGAGAGCTGCAGTGACCATTGCTGGAGTGAGATCTGCAGTGGCCATTGCTGCAGTGAGATCTGCAGTGACCATTGCTGGAGTGAGATCTGCAGTGACCACTGCTGCAGTGAGATCTGCAGTGACCATTGCTGCAGTGAGATCTGCAGTGACCATTGCTGGAGTGAGATCTGCAGTGACCATTGCTGGAGTGAGATCTGCAGTGACCATTGCTGCAGTGAGATCTACAGTGACCATTGCTGGAGTGAGAGCTGCAGTGACCATTGCTGGAGTGAGAGCTGCAGTGACCACTGCTGGAGTGAGATCTGCAGTGACCATGCTGGAGTGAGATCTGCAGTGACCATTGCTGGAGTGAGATCTGCAGTGACCATTGCTGGAGTGAGATCTGCAGTGACCATGCTGGAGTGAGCTCTCTGCAGTGACCACTGCTGGAGTGAGCTCTCTGCAGTGACCATTGCTGCAGAGAGAGATTCGATGACCTATGCTAGAGAGGGCTGCTCAGGGCTCTGTAGCCAGTTGTGTCTCAGAGATAAAACACCCACACCAGGTCACTGAACCTCTGATCCCAGGAAGACTAGGAAGACATGAATTGTCTTATGTGTTTCCCTTTGCCATAGAGGAGTCTGCAGGCTAAATGGGCGAGGACACTAGCTCCTGGGGGATGTGACAGGCAGAGACAGGCCAGTTTCAGAGCAGCCTGGAGTGGAGTCCTTAGTCCAGAACTCTGGGGACCAATCCAGATCCCAGCACTACCCTCACAACTCCCACCATCACCTCCAAATGGAGAGATGACTCACTCCAGCCCTCTTCCCTGCAAAGCCCTCCCAGCTGTGTGCATGCTGCCCCAGGCTCTCAAGAGGCAGCGGTCAGCAGTTAGCTGCAGGATGGGGAAGTGGGCCCCTTGCGCCCTGCGTGGGTGTGAGCTGCCCTCGGAGGCACCCTCCCTTCCCCCCTGACTACTATTCTTCCCTGCCCCTCCTCAGGCACTGTCCCAATCTGCCTCTCCACATCTTTCCCACAATGTCCATCTGGGTCCCAGAACAGACAGAATAAATATCTATACCTTACAAAGGAGATGATTTCAGAAACCCCTGCACCCATTGGTATTTACACAGAAAGAGAAAACTCCCAATTCCCTGGGATATACGTATGTCAACGGGTCCTGGTTATTTGGGAAGACTGTAAGGGGAGTGCATTAGCTTGGGTTGGGTTCTTGCATGCATACACATCCCATGTGCTCATGCACACTCATACTCATGCATACTCACACTCATACACACACATACACTCATGCTCGTGCACACTCACACACACATCATCGTGCATGCAGATACCAAGTTATCAGTGAACCCCTGTACCGTGGGAAGGAACTCATGCCTAACACTCCTGAGGGTGCAATGCAGGCCTGCTGGGCAGGCAGTAGCCACACTTCTGCCAAGAGTTCTCAGTATCTCCTTAAACAGGAAGTAGGCACATGGACCTTTCTTCAAAGGGACGCCCCCAGCTCCATTTAGGCAGAGTCAACAGTTCCTCAAGCATAGACGGGGGCTGGAAGGGATGTTCCCAATGGCTACTAGCTGGGTAATAGGTCTGTTAGAGGACCCATCAGTGCCTCTCACTGCCCGCCACAGAGGGAACGCCTGAGCATGGAGAGCGGAGACTGCTCATCAACGTCTGGAGCCCAGGGAATAGATCCAGGGCCACAGAGACCTGTTCCCCGATGGCCAGAATCTGGGAAGAGCTGACTCCAGATAAAGAAAGGGAGGTGGCCAGACCACGGGAGACCAACAGATGTCAGGGACAAGGTGAGAGCAGCTTCTCCAGGGCCCAGGGGCTGAACCCAGCCCTAGGTCCAAATGACAGAAGATGTGACTGGAAAGTTATCAATTCAAGGATGCCTACGAGCAGTGTGAGCCAGGTCCCTGGTTTAAGATGCCTCCAGGGTCCACATGGCTTTCCTCAGTACCACCATCTGTAACCCACCACGACTAAACCTGGCTCTGCTGATGGGCCTTCCCACTATTTTGTAAGCCTCTGCCTCACGCCCTGAAACCTGGTGTTTGACAAGGACCTGTGTCCCAGCCTCTTCCTGCAGCAAGGGCAGACCATGCTCTGGTGACACCACGGACTGCTTATCTGAGTGCATGCACAGAGAGCTATGTTTCTGTGCTACTGCATTTGGGAGAGGACTAGCCTGCCACTCCAGGGAGCCCTGTGGAAACTAGACCCCTGGATCTCCATGGAAGGCAGACCATGGTTGGAGTCCTGGTGTGCAGTCCATAGACCTGGGCACATCTGCACAGTTGCTGCCTGGAAATGTATCCCTGGAGACCCCTGATCAAATGATAGCATAGCCTACTCTCCCAGTGTGGTTGGCTGTGGGGCATGCTGGAAAGAATTTTCTGGAGATAGAAATAAGACAGCCAGAGAGCTGAGGCTGTGTGGTGGCTTCAAGGACATTCTGCTTTCTCCCTCACCCGCCCTAGCTCCCTGTGAGCCAAGACATCCAGGGCTTTGGAATGTAGGAGGAGGAGGTAGCTAGTGGCAGAGAAGAACTAACAGCAGGGCCCATATTTCTCCATGACCCCATCCCTGCCCTGGGGACAAAGGAAAGGGACATGTCTTTGTCAGCTGGCAGGGGCTGATTTTAGGACAGAACTCCCAGGAGGAACGAGAAGAAAGGAGCTGTGATTGCCTTAACCCGAGCACACCGAACTCTCCCTCTTTCTCAATGTCTTCATGTAGAAACATTATCTGCTGGGCTGGGAGACAGATCAGTGGGTAAAGTGCTTGCCACACAAACACGAGGACCTGAGTTCGATCCCCAGACCCCACGTAAAAAGTAAAGCATGGTGGCACGCACTTATCCTAGTGCTAGGCAGATGGAGACGGGGGAGCCCTGGGGTTGGATGGCCACCCAGGCCGCCTGATCAGAGAAGCTGAGGCCGGGAGACATGTCTTCGAAAAGAGGCTGGCCAGTTCCTGGGGAGCAAGACCCAGGGTTGACCTCTAGCCTCCACAGGCCCATGTGTAGACAAAAACATACACCCAAACGCAGCCACCCCAGGTCAGTTGCACTATTCAAATCAGATACAGGCTTCAGCTCTGAGCTCAGTCCACTGTCCAGCATGGGTATCTACAGCCAAAATCAGGCTCTCTGGGGTGGACATGCAGTACTGGAAACCTCAGAGGCTGACCGCCTGGAGGCAGGGGTAGAGTCCACTTCCGCCTTATGGCCTCCAGGCTCTGGAGCTCTCTGCAAGGCACCTCAGGCCCACCTGGCACCTGCCACAGGGGCCTCTGCAGCTCCCAGGCTGCACCCTAGCGGCAGGTCTTTTTTCTTCTTTTTTTTTTAGAAACCAGCATGTATTACACGCTTGCTCTGTGGCCCCTGTCTCCATTCCTGTCTCCACTGCATCTCACTTACCAGGAGACCATTGTCTTGCTTCCTCCCTGCTGGCGACTCACCTCGAGGAGGACACCCCCCCCCCGACTAGTGTGCAGCTCCACTGCCTGCTCCCCAAGAGGCTCAGCACCCAGCCAGGGCCCCTGCCTTGTCTCCTCTAGATCACAGGGCAGAGCCAGCATGCCTCCCATGTCCTCTGCATAGCCAGGCCCGACAGGGAGGGCCATACGCAGCAAGGGCTCACCTGATGCCCATCTTGCAGTCCATCACGCAGGGCGAATCGAAGTCGGCCAGCAAGTCGTCCATCTGGTTGTAGCGTTCCCCATCCTTCACCACATCCCCGTGGTACGCTGGCACGAAGGGTCTCAGCACGTCAACCATGAGCCGGTCCAGGCAGCGCTGCTCAGACTCACAGTGCTTCTTTAGGATGCGGCCATTGGCAGCTGCCTTGAAGCTCCCTGCAGAGTAAGGGTGAGGAGGACCTCTAGCCTCAGCAGAAGCTGGAGATATCTGGGACCCCTCCCCAGCCTCACCCCTGGAAGTTTCATCAGGACTGTCTCCCTCTTGCTGTAAGACACAACCCGGCTGAGCTGAGGGTTGAAGGTGTGGCCTTTTGTAGACAAGTGTCTTAAGGCAAACGGCTTCGGGTCCTGGTCACCCATTCACTGACTGCAACGCTGGCTGCTCTCTGCCTCCTCTGACTCCAAGCTCCTCACCTCTGAAGTGCATAGTTCTACTCTCCACGCCTCCGTATTACCACAAGGAACTCACCCCCACCTCAGCCCTACTTCTTAACCAAGCAGGTGTCCATGAGTCTTAGGAGAAGAAGCTCAGTGCCCACAGAGGAGACAGGGTGGGCACCGGCCTTCTGGGCAGTGGCCCTTCAGAGCCACACCCTCAGAGAGTATTTACAAAGGGTGTCCGTCTATGTCTTGGTCTAAGCTTGTGTTGGCCTGAGAAGAACCTTCAGGGCCATGAAATCATGAAGGCCAAGCACATGGATGCCTATGAGGTGTCCCCAGAGGACAAGAAAAAAAAAACACGATAAAGGGCTTCATACGGGCCCAGCTGACTGCCAGCACCTTGGTGGCTATGGGGTGACTTGACTGCATCTCCCACCAATTCTCCCATGGCCTCTTAGCCATGCCTGGGTCATTGCAGAGTTCCATCCAGGTAGAGGCTATATCTCCACTGGCACTGTGGCCCCTAGAACGTGGTCGTGCAGGCGTACACAGTATCCAGGGTTACAAAGGGTTAACGGTTATAAAGAATTTATCTGGAACTGTTAGTGAGTGAAACTAGAAGCAGAGTTGGGAAGCAAAGAAGGAGTGGGAGAATTAGGGGGCAGGGTGGATGGGATGGATATATTCTTGGGGAGGAGAGAGATCAGCTGTCTACAGACACTTACAAGGCAATGTAAAGGCCACACCTTCTGCCAGGGTCTGTTCTAGGGTTGTCTCCTGGGGCACCAGACACCAGCCTCCCCTCCCACGTCCCCCCACTACCTCCCTAGAGAGCCGAGTCCACCACCTGCATGTCCCGCCAGCTGGATCCACGGGTACTTCTTCTTGAAGGACATGACAAAGGGCGACCACTGCACCATGTTCTTTATCTTCCTCCATGACTTGCTCTGGAAAAGTCACAAGCAGAGTGACAGGCTCAACCACTGTGTTCTGACCAGAATGGATTTAAAGCAAGGTGACTCGATGCTCAGGGCCACCGGACCTGAGGGCCACACTCATACCTCGGGTGCCCGTAGGTGGGTCCCAAACACCTCGTGGGCTACTAGCAGGCACAGATAGCTTTGTCACAGTTTATAAGCAGACTGAGCAAGGAGCTCAGGGGATTTCTCAGGGGATGTTCAGGCGTAGGTGAAGGAGGCAAGCCAAGCTCAGTCCTGGGCTCTTCAACCCAGACTCTTTCTCAGCGGGGAACAACTGAACTCATGTCGCTCCTTTTCACACACCCATTGCCCTGGGCCTTGGCTTCTTCACCTGTCCAGTGAGGGGCAGACAGCTGCTCCATCAGGCTCATGGGTACTAGAGCTCTGGGAGATGACCTTGTACCAAAAGCAGTGCTCTCAGACCAGAGGGGTCCCTGTCATTCAACAGCAAGGTGTTGCTGCGTATCTTATTTGTAGATGCTATGGTAAAGAGCACTTATGGAGAAGCACGCCACAGAGGGGCCGTTCATAGATGACCGCTGAGTACCAGGTGGGGTGGTACACACTCGATGTCCCATCTGTTCAGGAGGCTGAGCCAGAAGGGTCACACAAACCCAAAAGCTTGAGTCTAGACTAGATGATACCATGAGACTCCCCCAACTCAATGCAGGTACACACACACACACACACACACACACACACACACACACACACACACACACACACACACACACCCCAAATCACCTTCTAAGGAAGCAAGGGCCTGGAGGACAGATTCTAGAGAAGACGATGACAGCCAGATGTGTCACACCTGGAACCATCTGGCTGGCATGGAGCCTGGAGACAGTGGGAGGTCAGTGTGTGCAGGAGGTGGCCATGAGCAGGGCGAGCATGAGCAAGGCGAGCATGAGGAGCAGGGCGAGCATGAGCAGGGCGAGCATGAGGAGCAGGGCGAGCATGAGCAGGGCGAGCATGAGGAGCAGGGTGAGCATGAGCAGGGCAAGCATGAGCAGGGCGAGCATGAGCAGGGCGAGCATGAGCAGGGCGAGCATGAGCAGGGCGAGCATGAGCAGGGCGAGCATGAGCAGGTACATGTGAACAGAAAAGCAAACCCCCAAGTTCCGGGGGTTCCAGAGTTTCCACATCTGATCTGAGGAGGCCAGCAGACTTCCGCCGGTTTTGCCTTTCCCAAATCGCCTCCAATAGGGAGCACCATGAAAAAGGGCCCCATGGCCAAGGCCAGGGGGTCCTGGCATTGTGAGACCAGATGCAGGCTGGTGGAATATTCCACTTGGACGGAAGGAGTGTTGTGCATTTGCCCCAGAGACCCTAGTGCTCTGCTGGCAGAGGACACAGGGTTTCCCTTGTGTTTTTAAGCATCAGCCGTGCCCGGCAGCATCAGAAAAGGCCATCTCCATGACTGGGGCCAGGCAGGGGAAGAGGCTGCAGGAAGTCTGCGCCACCCTTCTTGCTTGTAGGGGTAGGGGCAGATGACAGGGCAGGACACTGAGACTCGGGACCATCTGGGAAGCACAGCACCCCTGGGCAGCCTGGCCCACTCCCAGGAGAAGCAGCTTGCCAGGCCTGGGGGTGGGGCAGCCTTCCCTCCAAGCACTTTAGTGTAGGAAGCTGGTGAACCAGGAGAAAGGTTCCAGGCCTCTTCTCCCAGCTGGGACAGGTGACACGGGAAGAAAGGAAAGCACATACAACCCGGATGAATTCCATCAAGGGCGGGGACTTCCAGCAGAGAGTCTAGTTGAACTCAGACCGCCAGCCCAGGCTTTGACCTTCCCAAGTGGCCTCAGATACCTCTTCCTGACCTGAGTGGGAGAGCGTTTCCCAGATCCATTCCTTTGTCACCTCCTAATCACCACAGCACCTGCAGAGCCTCAGCGGACCCTCCCTGGGTGTCTCTAAAAGTTCCAATGCATGATACGTCCTTCTGGCCTCTATGTGCAGTGACTAGGAGGAAGCTGGCTGACTGGTCGGCTCTACAGTGACATGCCACTGCCTCACTCACTGGCCTGAGTCAGCCTCCTAGATGATGAGCCTGAGGGTATCACAGGGGTCCGAGTGTGACAGGAAAGGAGACCCGCTGCCAGCTAGCACGACTTCTGTCACACACACTCACTCCGCCACCCACGCAGTGACAGACAGCAGAACTCATGTCAGTAGGCACGCAAACACAGGACCAGCCCCAGCAAGCACAGCACTTGCTGTGTGGGTCTTGGGACAGGCTGGGGTCCTGTGGCCCTGTGCTGACCTTCACAAAGCCTGGTGGTGGCAGGGACATTTTTATCTGTCTTACAGACGAAACACCCCAGTTCAGCAAGTCATTTCCCCTAGTCCGTTGGTTCTCAACCTGTAGGTCGTGACCCCTTTGGGGGGGTCAAATGACCCTTTCACAAGGGTGGCTTAAGACCATCCTGTATGTCAGATATTTACATTATGATTCATAACAACAGCAACGCTACAGCTATGAAGTAGTAATGAAAATAATTTGATGGCTGGGGTCACCACAACACGAGGAACTGTGTTAAGGGTCACAGTGTTAGGAAGGTTGAGAACCGCTGACTAGAGTCCATTCTCCGCCTTGCTGGTAAGAATCAGGTCACAATGAGAACCTGCCGCCCATCTTCTGCACCTGTCCTCAGTGAGGGCCCCTTCCACGGCGCTCTTGTCTAGGCTTTTAATGGCTAGCATTGGAGACAGAAGACAAGCACAAAGGCAGAGACTCTGGCTGCCCCTTAGAGGATGAGCCCAGAACCTTTGTACCATGCCTCTAGTTGCCACCAAACCTTGGTGACACACTGTTCTGGGGCTGGTACACTTCCAGCGCAGTCACCAAGTGACATGAAGTTTGCAGTCTGCCGGGCGGGACTAGGGCTGATGTGTGCTTGCCGGCTACGGACGGGCTTGTGGACGGACAATGAGCACGGGCACTCGCTGTGGACAATGGGGACAGCGTCACAAGGGAGAGGACACAGGGACTTCTGGAGACCCAGGGACAGGGAGGAGAGCGCCAGAAAGGAGAGGACACAGGGACTTCTGGAGACCCAGGGACAGGGAGGAGAGCGCCAGAAGGGAGAGGACACAGGGACTTCTGGAGACCCAGGGACAGGGAGGAGAGCGCCAGAAGGGAGAGGACACAGGGACTTCTGGAGACCCAGGGACAGGGAGGAGAGCGCCAGAAGGGAGAGGACACAGGGACTTCTGGAGACCCAGGGCCTCTACTCTTACTTCACGGTATCTAAATCACAGGCACGAAGCCTTCGGGTAATTCCTTAAGTGACTCGCACTGAACCAATCCTTGGATTGTTGTCCTCTTGATCAGACCAGCCCTGGCTGGGCCTTGCTCTGTATCCACATGCCAGGTTGAGGAATATGGTTTTTTATTTATTTATTTATTTAATTTTGGCTTTTTCGAGACAGAGTTTCTCTTTGTAGACCAGGCTGGCCTCGAACTCTCAGAGATCCGCCTGCCTCTGCCTCCTGGGGGCTGGGATTAGAGGGGAGATGCATGAGAGCTGCTGGAAGCCTCTGAGACTTGAAATAGCTGAATAAACGGAAGTTACTCTGGGCAGCTGCGCAGCTTGCGCCTAACCTGAAGCTGTGAAAACATCCAGAGAATGTAAAGAGGGATTTGTAGTGGGAAGAAAAATAAACAAATAAACACCCCCCAAAACAAAACAAACACAACAAAAACACAGGAGGCCCACAAACCTCAGCCCTCTTCATACCTGAGGTGTGGGGATGTCATGGGGGGGATGGGGGGGTAGGGAGAGAGAGAGAGAGAGAGAGAGAGAGAGCCCGCCAGAGCATAGCAAGTGTTTCAGCAGCAAATGCTACCAGCAGGGCAGTTCCACACCTTGGCTGGGCCCACAGGAGAAAGCCTGGGCAGGGTCTGGCTCTATACGCTTGTGTGGGCTTCAGGGGAGGCGGACAGTTCCTGGGCATGCCACCCTCTGACTGCCTCTCTCTTCCGGCATCTGCAGATATGCTGTGGGGATGTAATGCCTTATACGAAAAGGAAGGAACCGTCTCTCAGCATGGCCAGTGACTTTTGAAAATCAGTCAGAAAATGAATGGTAGGGTCAGGGGTGAGAGGAGGCACGGAGCTCCCAGAACTGGCTGTGGGGATGTGGGACCTCTGGTCTATTTCCTTCGAATTAGCCATCAGCAAGGGCCCCTTGTCCAGCATGAGGTAGGAATGTCCAGGCAGAGAGACGGTGGAATGTGACCTTTCCAAGGCCAGGGAGGGGTGGGCTCTGCTGCATGGCTCCCCACGGCTGTCAGGAGCCTCGGCCTCTTAACCACGGCCAGGCTGTTGCGGAGACGCAGACCTCCAGGACACAGCCACTGCTGTCCCACCTGGATCGGTCACTGCCGTCACACTCCTTCCAGTACCTGCTTGACGAGTCCTCTGCCAGGTTCAGGAAGAGCTGAAGTGACAAGCGGTCCCCCTCCATCAGATGATACAGCCTAAACACCACCAGATACTGCCTGAACACCACCAGACACTGACTAAACACCGCATTCCCTGCCTAAACACCACCAGATACTGCCTAAACACCACCAGACACTGCCTAAACACCACCTGATACTGCCTAAACACCGCATTCCCTGCCTAAACACCACCAGACACTGCCTAAACACCGCATTCCCTGCCTAAACACCACCAGATACTGCCTAAACACCGCATTCCCTGCCTAAACACCACCAGACACTGCCTAAACACCGCATTCGATTGTTCAGAGAGGCGGGGCGGGCGGCGGAGCTGAGAGCCATCAAGCCTTGGAGTGGGAAGGACCCTCTATCGTTCCGGGTCCCATGCTCTTGGACGGACACGTGGAGACCTCAGTGTCCCCATCTGTAACTGGGCACCCCTGTGGTCCCATGGAGACCCTGGTGATACAGACCCCCGCCTACCACGTGCTCGGCTCTGACCATGGCCAAGAACAGGCAAG